CAACCAAGCAGGGATCTATTTGGAGGAGTGATGGAGGAGGAGATGAGGTATCCAAAGATACCAAGGACTTGATGTGCTTCATGTACCGTCTTCGTATACAGACATAAAAAATGACCGTGACTTTCCATTGAGCGCTAGTACTCCACACCGCATTGGAGGATGCTCGCAGTCCGGTCGAAACCTATAATTTTGACTGTTCTGACAATGCACCTCCGAGCCAAGCACATTTTAGACTGAATACCTTCCTAGGTGAGAGCTATTGGGGATCAGATGATTGGGAGGACTATTAGAAAATCGTAGAGACGTACTGGATTCCGCACTCACCAAGTAACCCAGGTGCTCTGAAACCAAGGCTGGCCAGGTCTACCTTCCAAGATATGCAAAATAAATAACGGTTCTGGCACTCCAGGATAACAAAAAATAGCAGCTTTATTGGTGCAAAAAACAGCAACATTTTGACCCTGTAGGGTTGAAATGTTGTTTTTTGCACCAATAAAGCTGCTATTTTTTATTATCCTGGAGTGCCTGAACCGTTATTTATTTTGCATATATTAGAAAATTGTGTCACATAAGAACATCATACGACAGGTCTGTATTTCCCATCAGAGAATAATATGATGTGTCTACTGCTGTCAACACGGTTAATGCTCCACTAACAGAATTTATCAGTTCTGTAAAAAAAATTTTTGGGTTTTAAGATCTCAGAGTGAGAATTAATTTAACTTGAGGGGCGTGGTTCCGGCTCCGACCAAGATGGCCGCGTAAAGAACAAGCTCCGTCCCGCCGGACCCCAATATAGCGATCACGGCAAGCAAACTAAGCTTAATGGTGCGCACTAAACGCCCAGAGCAGCCCCAGACCCCAAGGATAGCCTCCCAGGGCCCGCTGGACGGTTATCTGCAGCAGCAGCCAGGGGTTAGCGGAGACTCTGGCAGCCCCAAGATGGCGGCGGCATCCACTCCGGGACAGGGGATGCCGGCCCTAGACCGGATTGAGGGCACCCTGAGGGACCTGGCAGCCTCCATGGCGACTAAAGCTGACTTACAGGTGATAACTACCACCATCCAAGATACATTGCGGACAGAGATCGCGGGGATCCACACAGAGCTCACTGCGCAGGCAGGCCGCATTACCGCGACGGAGGAAGCAACTGAGGCCCTCACGGCCCGCGTGGCAGCCACTGATAACGCTGTAGCACGCCAGGGCGGGATGCTGCTTTCCATACGTCGACATCTGGAAGATGTAGACAATAGAGGTAGGAGACCCAATATCCGGGTCCGTGGGGTACCAGAAACCGAGGGGCCAGAAAACGCAGAGGGTCTACTAACAGAATTATTCTGCTCTCTACTGCTACCATCCCCACCGCCAACTATAGAATTCGAGAGAGCGCATAGGGCCTTGCGGCCTAGAGCAACTGAAGAAGGGCCGCGTGACCTAATATGCTGTCTACACTCATTCCCGGTGAAGAACTCCATCATGGCCAAAGCCCGGGAAAGACAGAATTGGCCCTTTAGGGGAGCGCAAGTATCGCTTTATAATGATTTATCCCCCATAACGTTGGAAGCAAGGAGAGCCCTCCGCCCGGTTACAGCGACATTGCGAGACCGCAATATACCATATAAATGGGGATTCCCCTTTGCACTAATGGCTAGACACCAAAATAGATGGATCACCATGAGATGGCCGGAAGAGGTACCACGGTTCATGAGGGAACTGGGCCTCCCCTCACATTCGGTCCCCAACTGGATCCTGGGGACACTAGGCCCGCAACCCAGACCACAGAGAGGGTCCAGACAGCGTGAGGTGAGAACTCATCCGGCTCACAACAGCGGAAGGCGTGGAGACCCGACTTTCCCGGAGGAGTGATC